TTACTGAAGTTAAAAATGTTTCATTGACTGTGACATAGTTTTACAGTTTAGGAAGGAGAGTATCCATACTATAGGATTTCTAAGGATTTAAAAAAAAAAAAAAATACACCTCGTGCAATTGTGACACTACTCAAGTTAATGACAAAACTCTTATTAACAGCAGTTGTGCAGTCAGGTGGCTGAATATCAAAGCCTTCTTTAAAAATTACCATTTTTTTTACTAAGTGCATGATGGAAAATACTTATTCTGTTCAGACTGCATTTGTTGTAGATCTGTAATTTTCACTTTGTGATCTGTCAAATAATTGATTTGGATCCTGAAAAACCTTCTCCCATCCCACAGCTTGTTGGTAGGTGCACACTGTTGGGCAACTGGGTTGGATGGGTCATTGCTCTGACCTTTGTGATTAGCTCTCATCTTCTGTTTCCAATTAGCTCTTGAACTGACTTTCTTGCTGATACTGCCATGTGACATTATTCCCCTAAAATGGCAGTCTGACAAGTTTTTTCTGTTAAAATGTGGAGCAGAGGACTGTGACCAGCTTTGGGCTGGATTTCTTCTGGGTTAATGTTGGTTCGAGCTTTGCAAGCTCCAGGTGAACTGCCAGGAACACCAGGTTGTGACTACAGACACAGAGGGAAAGCTGGGAATTTTACATGGACTAGGTGTATCAGCTTAGAGGGCTGAGACAAAGGAAAGTCTCTTTTCTGTCCTCTGATTTAACATAGGCACCAGGACTCGACTGACTGCTTGGTGGTAACTCTAGGCATCTGGAGAAACAGTCCTTTAACTGCCCAGAGGTCTACTCGCATCGCTGCATTTAGGTGCCCAAGGGGCTGGTGGGGTGTCTGCGGATTGGGCACACTGAGACAGGGGGCTTTGCTTTCCACCTGCCTCCTGTTTTGGGTGCATCAGTCCCTTTGGCAGTCTGGTTTTGAGGATTATTCGAGAGAATCTTAGTTTATCTTGGCAAATGAGTTACATAAGCCTCATTAATCTTGCATAATAACTACAGTGGTTAAGCTTTTAAAGCCCAGCTTCCTACTTTCTCTGGAACTAGATCCTGTTTTGAAATGTGATGGTGTGTTTTAGGAACCACTAATTAGGCGTTTCCCTTGAAAACTGGCACAGGCTCATTCTAAGAACTTTTCCCTTCGTACTCAATTGTGGGTTCTTTAAATTATTAATTCCATAAATCATGTCAGCATGCCTACATAACTCTGCTCAGTTTTATCCTAAAATAATCCACAGCTTATTTTTAGACACTAGGATTAGCGATCTTACTCTTCTATAGTTAGAGATATGTAGATGATATATAGAGATATAGATGAATGCAACATGATATAGGAGGGAGTTATAATGTAGACTTTGAATTCTTGCATTGTGTGTTGGACCTACAGCGGTGCCCAGGGACAGCAGTCAGAGTCAGAGCACAAGTTTATGGAAGGATACACAGAATCTTTTCTGAACAGCTTTCCATCCACTGTAAGGCAAAGCTCTTCAAGTCACTTCAATTAACAGAAGGGGCAAAGGAAGAGAGGAATAAAGAGTGCAGTTGGCCATGTATTTCAGCTAGGCACTCAGCTAGGGTTTGCTGAAGCATATAATTTCAAATTTCTTTTATTTTTAATATTTTATGGGTTTTGTCTGTAACCAAGCAGTTGTTGTTTGAATGATTTGCGTGTGTATCGTAGCTGAAGTTTGTCCTATAGAAAAGAGGAAAGTAGCTGACTGAATTAGTTGGGGGCAGGCATTTTATGAGTCAAGGGGACACAATACAACATCAGCAACATTTAGAAAACTTATCACATTGATTGCCCATGAAATGGATGCAGCACAAAGGAAATAGCCAACAACTGTTTTGTTTTTCCCTTTCTTTAGATATTATTCTAAGTAGCATTAGCAACTTCTTGACACTATTTATCTTTCTTAAGTTAGTGTAGGTGGTGTTGCATTTTTTTTATTTAGTTAAAGGAAGAATGTGATGATACCTTTATTTATATTTGAATAGTTTTATAACATCGATATTTGCTCAGTGCACTCAGTTACATAAAGGTGATGGGCCTCCTGTGCCAGGTACCCACCCCATGCACAGCAGTACAGCAGCAAGTACAAGTCTCATGGGGCTGCTGAGACCTGCTTCTGAGCAGGAGGTGGGAAATGTGGTTGTCTGCTAAACCCACTCTATGAACCAGAGAAGACACTGAGACTTTTTCAATTCTTTCTTGCCAAAAGGAAGACTCTGAATCAAACTGTAAATATTTAGTCACAGTCTGGCTTGTGGTCTGCTCAAGGCAATGCCATAACAGACTTGTCAAAAACATTTTTCTAATCATTTTAATTATCCTAACCAAAAACATAAACTACTTTTCTCCCCTTGTACTCTTTCTATACTATATTTATTTTAACTTTTTTTCCATACTGATGCTGGGAAGTCATAGAAAAGCAGGAGTGCTGACAAGTAGGTGGAGCTGTGTGTATACCTAACATTTAAATCTCTATATGTGAAAGGAATTGCTGAAGGGTAGTGGCCTTATACATATTTCTGTGTTAAAATATTAGACAGTTTAGAAGACGCTTAGGGCAAGAGTATTAGAGTAGGGCAAGCTTTTCTTCCATATTTCACTGGGTAGGTGTTCTGGTAATAAATGACAGTGAATAATAACTAGCCTCAGTTTTAACTTTTTTTTAGAACTGATTCTTCTGAAAGTCTGTCAAGTTTTGACTTTTCAATATGTCATAAATCATATTTTAGCTCATCTTGTAAATAGAGATAAAGTTGCCTTCCCAACGTATTCCATGTTTTCCTGTGTAATTAACACCTTGTCACAGTTGTGTCTGCCAGTCAAAGCCCTGCCTTCTTCCACGGACACTTCCTTGATACTTTGTTTAGACTGCTGAGATTTTAAGTGTCATCCTCCGGATACTTTAAATAAGTCCAAACAGGAAAAGGAAGGTGCTTCAAGAAGTCAACAGTATAGCTCATTATAACTTAGAGGACTATTTAAAAAGTATGAAGCAGTTTATCTTTGTTTATTACTTACATCATTACCTCTCAGTCTGTTTTTCATACTTCCTAAGAAAAGTTTACTGTTCAGGAAATATTAGTTTTCATCTGTATTTCTGAAGTAGAGATCCGTCAGAAGTCTAGATCTAGCTAACAGCAGTTCCCTTTTCCTGTGTGCCTTTCCTGGTACTGTGCCCTCTGTCAGGCTGTTGGGTTGCCTACTTGGTTACCCGGTGAACTTCATCAATGAACTGATCAATGTTAAATACAACTCTACTTTTTTGTGGGTCATCCTTAGCCAGGATAAGTTCCCAGCTCTGGAACTCTGGGACAGTGTTTCCAACAGTGTCTTCTGTGGACAGTGTTACCAATATAGGAGAGGACGTGCTGGGGGTGGGTGGTAAGGGGCAGTCTAGCCTTGAGCTCAGTATAGGAATGTATATTATGTATATATACATATACTGTATTTTGGTTTTGCAAATTTACCCTGAGCTGCCCCAGTAGCCGTGCACGTGCAAGTGCTGGTGGGATTAAGCAGCTCAGCACATAACATATGTCTCAGCTGGTTAAGACCCAGGAATTTGGCACTCCAAATATGCTTGGGTGTGGGGTTTTTTTCACACTGCCCTTAAAGCACACTGACTGACTGAGGACCCTCATAAAATCATGGTGGCAGCATACATGTTATGAGGCACAGTGTGGTGAGTGAAACACATCCCCACAATCCTTGTTCCTTTTTTTTTCTACAACTTGAAGTGCTCCAAATTCCTACCTCCTGCTTCTCAGGAGAGTCCCTGGCAAGAGGTTACCCTGGTAAGCTGCAGGGTGTGATGAAGAAGGATTTTCCACCCTAACTGTCATCTTCTTGTTTCTCCTCAGCATAGATCAGGATTAATGAAAGGCAGAGAATGAGAATGCTTTCCTACAGATCAGGGCTCTCACCTGTAAAGAGCAAAGCTGAGATTTTACTTTTGTTCCTTAGATTACTTCTGCAGTTTGAGTGAGATCATCATCTAATAAAACACAGAAACAGGCTTAAAAGTAGGGACCATAGCTTACAGAAGTACCCCATGTGTTAATTGTGAGCTGTCAGCATGCATGTTCGTTTTTAAACTTCTTAAGCCACGTTTTCACCAGGACATCTCCCAAGTACTTTTTTGTTAATTTACATTTACCATATGCAAGGGAAAAATTTAGTCTTAATGAACATACTACTATTTTTAATTTTTTTTTTTTTGCCATTGCACCTAGATGTTAGTGTTCTGAGCTGTTTTTTCTAAAAATTGTGCATCAGTTTTCAGCTTGGCAATAAAGATGTAAATTACTTCCATTTTTATGTTGATCTTCCTTAAAAAAAAGCATATGTGAAAACAGCAGTTGTTCAGTTGAGCTCTGTACTAAAAAATTGTAATTGTTATGTGTGCATGATTTTTAAGATTTTGACTGGAAAGTCTCCTGTTAAGTAGACTTTTATGGACCTTAAGTTTTAATGCTAATTATTTTCCATATGCGTTGTATACACAGATCGTAGTAATTGCATAAGGAAGGTGAAATTGTTTTGCAAATAAATCTCTGACTTTTCTGCTTGTTACCACATCCTGGAGAAGAAGAGTATGGGTGTTTGTTAGTTGGGTTATGTTGCACATATGTATTCACTGTATGAGTCAGGGTGACCAGTACAGCACGGTTTAACAGCCCAAGCTCTGGTATGTTAAGATAAAATATAATCTCTTCGCATCTCATCAAGATGCTGTGTTTATAGCCCTATTAATTTGCACTCATATTTGAGACATAGCTTCAAAATTTGATAGTAAATGTTAGTAATGCAAATATAATTTCTTATAATTATTAAAAACAATCCTAAGAGTACTCAAATTAGATAGTATTGTAGTGGTTGATACAGGATATTCGTTTTGGATAATTTTTGAATTTTTTGCTAATAAGCACGGCAACTAGATTTATAAATATCTATTGTCCTTTTTTTATTTCTAGGGAAGACGAGGCAAGCCAGGCCTCCCAGGAAAACCAGGACCACCAGGGCCTCCTGTGAGTACCTAACAAGGGGAATGTGAAATTATCACTGCATCCTGGAATTTTGTTACCATTTGTATAGCAGGTTACCTGACCATAATTACAGTTGGAAACAATTGATCCGTGTTTACTCTGCTGTTTCAAAGAGCTACTATTGCTAGCATTTGATACAGCAAAGATAAAAGGACTGGGTCCACAAACTTGAGGGACTCTGCAGGAGGGAAAGAACAAGATGCAGGCTTCAGCAGAGGAAGCAGACATTGTCTGGCATTTCAAAGAAGGACTGGCCATGTAAGCTAAATGTGAATACTGTGCATTCATTCACTTTGCAAAATGCGTGATGCTCTGTAGAAGATGGGATAATTTCTGTCTCAGAGGGGTAATTTGAAAGATGAAGGACTGTGTGAAGCGTGTGCCAAGTGGCTGAATGGTGGGGAGGATTATACCCAGCACTGGAATGAGCACTCAGCTGTAGTTCAAATGAGTTTACAGAAGAATTAAAACGATTAAGAAATACATGACTCTATGAAAGGATTTGTAATATAAAGAATGAAAGCATTTGGCTCAGATCTAAGAGGTTTAGGCTTTATTTTTTTTTTTTTTTTTAAAGTGATACATGATTTCAAATTTGAAGTCAGACATGGATGTATATTAGTCTGGAATGAAGGCGGCCTTCCTTTGGTAGAGGAAGACTTGGTCATATTTATAAAATTCCCTATATATTGTGTTGAAATAATGCTGTCATGTACGAATACAAAACATCTATTTGTGGGTTAAGTAAACTTCTACTGCTTTACTACATTCTTAATAGCAAACAATGATTTCATAATTTCTCTTTCTGTTTAGCTGAAATAGGTAAAGGCCAGTAGTTTGTGTTAGAACATCTGTTTCATATCCTACAACCTCACTGCAAGGGAAAACTCGCCTTATTTGTGTAGAAGAGAATAATGCACTACTGCATGAAATACAGTAAAATGAAATAGATGTCATTTACACTTATCTAAAAAACAAGACTGCATGAATTTTATAAATATTTTCTCCCCTTTTTCTGTGCAATACGTTTAGAAGGAGGAGCTGACGACGGAGTTCATTTATCCTGCATAAAACAGTTAAAAGTCTATGCCGCTTCTGCCCTGCATATAGTCACATTGAAGCCCTGCTTATTTGAGTGTTTTGTACAGTGTAGGCTTCCTAGTGCTGCAGCAGTACTGCAGGCTGTGGGAGTCCAAACAGAGAAAAGGAGTCATGGAGAATCTTAATATAAATGCCAAAAATGACCTTTAAAAGAAAAGCAAAGCAAACCATGGCAGAGGTCAATGCTAGACCTAATCTACTTAGCTTTTTGTGATCCAGTGAAAAGCTGTTTCTCCGTTATAGATTTCTGCCATCATAGATTTGCCAGCAGGTCAGGCTTGTGAAGATGTATGATTCTTGACAGACATACCAGAAATCTTGAGTGGAAGCTAAATTGCACTTTTATTACTGAGACAAATTTCAGATTTTCTTACAGCAAACAGAAAGCTCTATCAGCGTGGCAGCATCCATACAAGGAGCTCTCTATGAGTATGGTTGTCTAGCACTATGTATCAGAAAAACACTACTCAAGCAGGTGTGGCCTAAATATTGGCTAAAAAGTTTTTTTTTCTCATATAGCTATCTTGATGCAATCCTTACATTGGAGACAGCTACACCAGCATCTTGTGTTCCTCTTCTGAGACTGGGAACATAATACATATAAAAAGCATACTCTAAAAGCGAATGCCTGCTAATGCGCATTGGCAGTATCCCCATGTTTAAAGTGCTACAACTTGTACATACCAGAAAGACTTTAACCTGACCCATCATTTCTCCTCTCTTTTTCAAGGCTCAGACCATATCAAATTTTGCTGTATTTTGCTTTTGGTTACCCCTTCTCATCTAGTAGTAGTGACAACTTCTTCATCCACATAGATATGTTGTTGGCCTTTGGCCTTTCCAAAGTGCAAACAGAGTGGAGTTTGGTATATACAGGGTGCAAAATGCTTAAAAGATTGACTTAACATGTGAAAATTAGGCTCTAGAGCAAGAGTAAGTTTGGTGTGTTTGGTTGATGTTTCAAAAGAATATGAAACTTTTATCTGAGAAAAAGGAGATTGCCATTAATTGGTAGGGTTCAAATACTATATATCTGAAATTTGTAAGTTTACCTAGTTTATTTATTTACTTAATATTTACTTATATTAAGGTGTTCAGTTAGCCAGGTATTCAGTAATGGGAAAAAAAATAAAACACCAACAAAAAAAACAAAACACTGTGAGAAGGAAAGTTCCGCCTCCTTGAGGAAGAAGTTGGTGAATATGATAGAATACTTGGGGGATTTGTTATACAGGGCAGTCCTAAAAAGTTTGTTCAGGGAAGGATTATGAGACCACATTCTAAACACTTGGAAGGGCTTTAAATTGGACACAACTGAGTGGTGTGAGTTTTGGTTAATTAAAATAATAATGACAGCATCCTCATCTTCTCTCCCTCCTCCCCATTTTCTGGGGAGTTTTTTTTTTTTTTCCAGTAAAATTGATGTTGTTAGTGAGTTTCTAGTCCCTTAACATCATCTGCACATCTTTGGATAAAAACATGTATGTGTCAGAAATATAGGTTGATTGGCAGATGGTGACAAAACTATTCAGTTAAAGTGCCACTCTCTATGCAACTTCTTCCAGGTATCCTTTCTTTAGTGTATTTTTTCCCTCATCTTTCCTTTTATGTCATTTTTTCATTTTGGATCTGGACCTGTGCCCACAAAATACAAGCAGTCAATGAGGGTTTTTACTGATGGGCTATAAAAAAATATTTCTATAAGCCTACCCAGATGATCCTCCTTCAGGTATTTTTTTTAAAGTTTATTAAATATTATGGACTTTTAAAGTGTTCTGTTACTCCCTTGTGGTTCAGAATTCATGGTTTGCATCCTTACTGTCTGATGCTGGCTTTAAGTATTGTTCTGTTATTTCAGTACTGGAGAGCTGAGATGTGTGCTCACACTTGTCTCACTCCAGTGGCTGAAAATTTATGCTAAAAACATGGAATCTGAGTGAGTTAAGTAGAACAGCAGCTCCCTCTAGTGCTTTTTGATCTCTTCCCACATTTGTAAGAGTCTAGAGAGCAGGTTAAAGCTTCTGTTAAATACACTATTCATTTCATTCTGAGAAGCGTTCTGAAAATTATGATTGTGAAATCAAAAATCTCTGTACTCTTCAAATGTATTTCGTGCATTTTCTTGAATGCATTTTCTTCTAAAGTCTTCTGAAAAAGATACGTCTCTTTCACATGCTGCTATCACAGAAACTGAAACACCAATTTTATGAAACAAACAAAAAAGCTATGATAGTAGGATACTGTGAGGTTGTAAGTACAGCATTTTGGTCTGACTGCAGAACTGAACTGATAGCTTTCATCTGCCCTAGCTTCTAACCAAAATATCTGCAGCACTTAGCAATGCAGAAGGGATTACAAGCAGACCATAGCTTATTTTGCATGCATATAATGCATTGGCTTTCTAGTTCACACACCGTATTTTTTTAATTTTCAAGCAAATGTGTCAAAGGTGTCTGAACTTAGTATTTATGTGCTGTTGATCTCAGGATGTACAGGCCCAGTACTGCAGCCCTCATTTAGGCAAGATGCTTTATGGTCTTGGGTTGTAGAATTACTACCTGCTTGGTTTTGGGTAGAGTTACTTCTACAAGAATCAGCAAACAGGTATTTCTAGTTTAGAAAATGCTAGGCTAGAGAAAAGAAAAAGGAGCTTTACTTGTTTACTTTGTTAAGGGTTAACTTCAAGTTCTCCGTCCCAGTTTCTTCTGTCTCTAGTGGAACTGTTATGACTGAAGGAATTCTGTTTCTGAATAGTTCCCGTTTTATTGGGACATCAGACTGTTTTTAAAAATAAAAGACTGCCAAGCTAGAGTTGTGCTACAGACTTCCATGAGTATAGCCTCATTCTCTGGGGTGAGTCTGAGTATGATTTCTGCCCAGTGTTGCTGTTTGGCAGAAGGGAAGTGCTTATATGGTTTTTAAAGGTAGGAAACATGAGGACTGACTAATTTGGCCAAGCTGTCTTGTCCAAGAAGCTGTCAGTGTCACGGGTAGGAAAAAAAAAAACTTAGTAAACTGCAATCACAATTATACATCCTCTTAAACCTGCTGTTTTCCACCAACATGTCCAAAGTTATTTGTAACCAGAATAGATTTGTTTCACAATTGCTATACCCCTTGAAGCTCATCATTCAGTTCATCATTTCCCCTTGCAAGGGACTGAATTTCATATCTTTTATCTTCACCAATGTTCTTGCTGGGAAGATTAACATTGTGTTACTCCTTAAAGTCTTAAATTAAAATAAGATTTCATTTTTGTTTGTGTTGAATATGAGGCAGTGGAAAAGTTCACACTACTTGAATTTCTTCATTTAATTTTGTACACTTTTGATCTCTTGTTATTCCCTATGTATGTCAGTGCCACCAAGCTAGTTATCTTAAGTAGCCAGCAGTTTGCCTTGGAAATCTCATTTCCTCTGCCTCAGGAAATACTGTCATTCCTCTACCAATATTTGAAAGTGAATGAATGTTATCAGTTAATTACAATAAACAGAAAATTAAAGCAATGATAAGTGAAAATTGTCAGTAACATTTCTGTTATTCCTGGTCTTTCAGCTGCTTTTTAGAATATTGAAAATGCTTACGTTGTAGGACAGGAATAGCTGGCAAGGGTTGGTTATATTGCTTGTTTCTGTGCATTTAAGTTTTTAAAATCCATATCCAAATATAGTTTATTTAATGCATTCTATTGTGGGAGACATCAGGCCTTCATCATTCTTTCCATTTGCTCTTGGAATAATTATACAATATTGTGTATCTGCACCAATGAGTTTCACGATTTTTTACATAATAGTAATCAGAAAACCAGTATTTTATTTTAATGGGTGGGCACAGATCATAAATAGATGGATAAAGTGATTACACTGAGTCACTTGCAGTGCTGTGTTCTCCAAAATGGCCTTGAGATGCAACCAGTGCAATTTACTTGTTACACGTTTTACTGCATGGACTGTGAGATTGGGTAGACTTTTTCAGCAGTCTCAACTTTACAGAAATGCAGACAAACTATGAAAGTTAAGGGAGAAAAATGTTATAAACCCCAGCAATTTCACAGTTTGGAGCTATTTCCTTTTAAGCACCTGTGTTTCTATTTCTGCCTTGACTATAGAAATAACATCTGAAACCTGTTTGTAATTTTGGAAAACAATCAGGACCCATTTTGAGATCTTTTGTTACTCATATAACTGTACTCTGTGCACTTCACTTCTCTCAATTACACAACTTGATACTAAAAAAGAAAAGGAAACCCTACTCAAGTGAGCTTCAAAGTGGTAGATGTGAAAAATTCTCATTCAAAAGATAGAAAATGCCCATACAATAATACTGACTCCTATTAATCTAATTTCTTCTCCACTTGCAAACCAATATTAGTAGTTCTTTTTTTTTTTTTGTCTGTAGAGACTTCAGAGTGGATTATGCAGCTGTATTAGTGGAGAGAAAGGGTGTGGAAGGGAAGAAAGATACTTTAAGTTCCACTTGATTGCCTTAGTGACGAGACAGTTCTGGGGTTTTTTGAGGTTATGTCTGGAGTGCCCATCTTTAGTATGGATATTAAAGTAAAAATTCTGCCATTAACTTCAGAAATCATAGTTGAATAAGCATCTTAGTCAAGTACATCTTTCTGTAACAATGTCATCACAGTAAAATACATAGATGCATATTTCATAATTTAGTGACAATGTTTCAGAACACTCCTGTCTTGTTTTGGTATGCCACAATAATGTTCTGCCAGGTCTCAATAATTTCTCCATCAGACTTATTAGCTTTTGCCTGATTGACCTTAATTTGGCTTTACTATCTTCCTAGGTTTTTATACCTTCATACTCCAAGGGGAATTTGTGATTGCCTCTCTTTGATTAGCTAGTTTCCATCAGATTGAATTTTTTTTCCTCAAGGAAGTAGTCTGTCTGGTTAATCAAAGTCATGGTTCTGTTTCTCATCTTTTTGAAGTTAAGTATCTGAAGAGAAGTACCTTTAATGGTAAGGAAAGCCATCAGAGTTTCACAGAATGGTCTTCTGCATGTGGGAAAACTTTGTAATTTTTTGTGATTCTGCACTCCTGCAGAGCAGATATCTCGTACCAGAGAAGGTTTTGCTGTCAGAATACAAAACATGACTTACCTCATTTAAATGCTCTGTCAAAACACTTAAAAATTTGATTACGTAGGAACCAATAGATACTGAGGGAAATTAGCATCTTCTGTACACATTTGAAATTATCAGATATGAGAAATGCCACTTATGACAAAATCATTGTTGTTCCTCTCATCAGGTTTTTCCCTGAATTGCTTGACGGTTTATGCAGCAGCAACTCTGAAGTAGTAAACCATTGAATTCCTCCTTGAAAAAACATAGTAACTGGTTCTTTAACTTGTATTGACCCAGAATACATGGCATTTCAGTATTTGCTATGGAACCCTAGCTAAAATCAGTAGATAGAAAGTTTTTCAGTTTTTCTAGGAATACTTTGGAATCTTGCTGCTGCACTGCTATGAATTTTCTTGACAGCAGTTCTTGTTATGAAAGTGTGAACCAGTAGTAAACAGTAGTATTTTCATCTTGACCAGTTTGTATCTTGGTTGAGAAGTGATTTTGATCCCTGACTTTCTGTAGTAGTTTTACAGGTCCTTTAGCATGAAAATTGGAGAAGTTTTCAATAGATTCCTATTCTGCAAGTGTAGAAAGCCGTTCTCTTGTTAGAATGCATAACACCAGAATATTTCTGTTGTGTGATTTATGTATAAAAACAGTGCGCATAAAACAACTAATAAAGACCTTATACAAAACCAAAATGTGTGATAAAAACTCTGACTGATCTCTGACATAGTGTCTCTGACTCCTAAACAACCTCCAGTTCTTTTGAGGAAAAACATTTTTCAAAACCAAATAGAATTCACTTTCCTAAAGCAGTTTTTAGGGTGCAGGGATGCCAGCTGCATTTTCCTCACTAACACAAAAGCTGCAGAGGGTAATTTGTCTGTAATTACAAAAAGGCCCAGAGGAGGAGAGTTGCCTTTGTGCCCTCACTCTGTTAAATGCAGATCATTCAGACCAAGTGACTGAACTGGGTATATTTTAATCTTCTTCATGTATTCAGATGTTTCTTTTAGCCATCATGGGTGGCTGTAGTTTATACGACATGATGTGAAAATTTCAACTTAAAAAGAGAACTATGCTAATTTGTAAATTTAACTGAGTTTTAGTTCATAAAATCTTGACTGAACTTTTTGTGTTCTGCCCTGATTTACAGCACTTAAAAATCTCATTAAAGGCTAGTTTATGACAGATTATGTCTAAAACTATTTCATATTTGCCCAGCCATATGGTTTTTAATCACTCTACCCTGAGCCTGCATTTCTGTAGGAAATGCCTTCTCCATTGTTGAAATTCTTGATGAAAGGTGTGCAAGTATAAACTTGCAATATTATTAAAACTAGCAAGTTAGTCTTCTGGAGAATTCTAGCATTTCTCAATTTCACTTCCTGTACCCTCTAGGTGAAAAATGTAGCTGTTTACTCACACTAGTTGCTGCTCCTACATCAAAATTTGTGCTTTGAGTTAGTGGAAAGAGTTTTAAAGAGCTGCAGAACTAAGATGCTGCTCATACCAGAAGTGATTCATACTAAAATTGACATGGATGTCACCTCTGCTTACTCTAACAGACCAATTCACTCCAAAAGTAGTTGCCAGGTTTTGAAACTAAGGGATTTAGAAACTGTCTATCCTTCTCCTCTGTGCCTGAAAAAAACCAATAAATATGAACTTACAGAAAATAATATACTGTATAGTCAAATAAAAACCTAAACCATTTTACATGACTACTGCTTTTTGAACACAGGTATGTGAACATAACATTAGTTAAATTAAATTATGCTTTTTCCTTTTAGGGTCCTTCTGGGCTGAAAGGAATTCTAGATTCATTGAACAAGCATTATAATGAGGTATGGAGATTTTATGTAGTGTCTCTGTGTGTATATGTTTATGACTAAGAGGTATCTAAGGTAGAATTGCAAACCACATTCCAAATTAATTCAAAAGGTAGATCCTTCCCTGTCCCTTTCTGCATCCCTGTGCAGGCACAGTCCACACTCTAGTCACATACCTATTGTGGCATATATGCTTCTGCCACGTGTCTTACATCCATCTGCTACTCACATATTTTTGCATGGTCTAACTCAAAAAGGAAGTGGGTGGACCACCTAGCTAAAGTTAGTCTAAAGTACCAGGTCCACATTTCTAAACCTAAGTGCTCTAAACCATACTTGACATTTCTTCTTTCATCTTTCTTGACCTACTCTGTTGTGATCCTAAAAGTAGAATATAAAGACAAGGAGGTATAATTTTAAAAGACCTGCTAGAGTTCTATGGAAATTGTCCTGATATTTCTATTATAGGGGGAAAAAAAAATTGTCTTAATTATAGTATCTCCTGCAGCTACAAACAGTTCATAGAAAAGTGTTCCATGTTACAGAGCTTTTAAATTCTTACCTAGGTTTTGCAAATTATTTAAGCGGTGGTAGTGTCTGCCAGTGTAAGGAATTGTAAATTCAAAGACCACACAAGTTTTATTAATTAATACCAAAGTCCGTATATAACTTTTGTCATTAAAACTTTTGTCATTTGTGTTTCATTCAAAGACTGATGGAGCACTATTACAGGAATATCTTCTTAATACAAAGGTTACTTATGTGTATCACAGCTTAAGTAATGTAGGTCAAACCTGGAAGACATCAATTTCTTTTAATATTAAAATGGTTAACTATAAAGAGTAGGTGAATTCAGGATATTTCTCTTATGTAACATGCCGAGATGAGTACAAAAGTCTTTTTTTTTTTTTTTTTTTTTAATAGGGATTCTGGAGCAAAATTTATGTCAGACATATCTTTCCAGTTGCTTTTAGCACTGCAGTGAATTTTCTGATATTTCTGGTCTAATCCATTCCAAATCAGTATATCTCCCTAGAACATGCATTAGGAATTAAGCTTAGTTTTATATGCTCTCCTGAATAGGAACATTTCCATACCTGGAGATTTGGTTTCTGGTTTGGGGTTGTCGTTTCATATGTCTGTGTTAAAGTTTTCTATATTTTGGGTTTGTACCTTTTGCTTTCTTTACTGGTTTCTTTTTCCTGCCAAAGACCACTTTTGATGATAACAGCCCTGTTTCCTCTACCAATACCATATTTATTTAAACTCATTCCCCACCTCTGGACTATTAATCTCTCTTACCCTGATAGTCTCTTTAAGGTT